AAGTTTGCTTCCAAGTGTGGGCACCTGGACCTGCACGGATGCGCATGTTGGGTTGAGTGAGTAGCCGCATGCTGCCGCGTCCTCCCATAGGGAGGTGCTGGCAACTTCATGCAATTACACGCAGCACCTATCCCTTTCTGAAAAGACTCCACTTCCTATTTCAGCTGGCTTCACACCTACAGTATGTACGTTACACAAAATGTTTGTGTTGTGTTGCCATTTGTTTTACTGGTGGGCGCACAGATGCAACTCCACAGCGTACTACTGTGCGTTAGGGTGCTGCATCCAAACAAAATACTGCAGGTTCATTTTTTTTACCTGCTGTGGTGCATTCAAATGAAGTGGCTCCCCTAAGGCAAGGCATGTTGACATGTGACATAAAGCACCGGCGGGGACAGTTGTGAGGCCAGTCTAAAAGTCTCCAATACACTTATATTGAGAGCAACATATTAGGCTGGAATGCTTACGTTCTAAAACTGGTAATTGCCTGGCTCTCTAGAATCAACTTAAAATCACTCACCGAGAACTAACATGTGACAGGTGAGGTCAGAGAAGTCATAAATCCCCCTGTTCCTACTAGTTCCAGGTCAGGGACACAAAAAGCATGGAAGCCAAGCAACTAATATTTTTAAAATGCAAAAAGAGTTCTTTTGAGGAAAGAAAAAAGTGGGGTTTTGAAAGCACCAAAGAATGACAACTCCAACCAAAAAATTTAAAAATTATATTTGTTTATTTCATATAAATCTTAAAAGTAGAAAATAGAGAAGGCTTGGAGCCACTAATAACATTGAATAGATAGTCCCTAAAAAAGCTCTTTCCACATACACAACAACTCACCATTAGCAGAGACATACATGATTCTTATGGACATACATGATTGGGGTTCAAAAATGCCGATTGACCAAATTGCATATAAAGAGGCCCTTGCATAGTTGTTCTTAGGGCTGTGGAATGAAATAATTGCTCTCCACTAGCATGAGGGGTAAATGCCAAGTTATTCAGCAACAGACAATTAGATGCACCACTATGCAGTTTTATCAGCAGGTAGCAAGCATGTAAGAAATATGTGGATAGCTCAAATAATCTCCAATAACAGACTTATCAGCAGACAACAGACTTTAGCACTATCACAACGCTTCATGGGTAATATGGCAGTTTTAGAGAATGTCTCAGTCCTACGTCTCTTAGCAGGTATAGCTAACTGAAGGAGAGGCAATCCGGATCAGCTGGGGGAGGCTTAGTGGGTGTGCGTGTGAGATAGCAACACATAAGCAGCATGCAAGCAAGCACTAAAACATGTAGCAGGTTCAGCAAGATTTGCAATGACTTCCAGAATACTTGCGGTTTTGTGCTCTGAATAGTTCTGGGCTCACAGCGGGGTAGCAGTCTCGATTCGCCAGCTAGGGGTTCTGGGCAGCGATCTGCTTTCTCTATCCAAGGGCAGCCTGTGGGTTCTCTGTTCGTCACTCGACTCTCCACAACGAGAGAACGCCGAGCGACGAACCAGCTGACCCTTTACCCTGGTAGCCGCGCCCCGTGGGAGGAGCCGCCGTGACGTCACGCACGAGACGACCCTTCGCTGGAGCGCAGGGACACGCCG